GAGGCGGATGGGCTACAACAGCAGAAGACCCCACCGGGTACCACTCGTCTCCACTCAAATAGGAAAAACGGTCAAACACCGTATTAGTATGGTGTTCCTAATAATCTTTTAGGTGAGTGTATATTGGAGTGAAAAGTAGGAGAATGAAAAAATAGATGCCACCCAAGCCTGTCCCCTGCCTTGCGCCTGTAGCTTCCAGAAGTTCCAGAACCCCCCCCCCCTCGAATGTCTGGAGCACCCCCGTTAATTATTTACCCTGTCTAATCATCATGCAGGTTACTGGCACCGCAAAGTGACATAGTGAAAGACCTGGAGAAGACGTTCCCGTTCGAGATGGTGGTGGGCATGAACGGCCGGGTGTGGGTGCGAGCTCGGACCGCGCAGCAGACGCTCATCGTGGCCAACCTCCTGGAGAGCTGCGAGAACATGACCACGCAGCAGCGGCAGGCTCTCTTCCGGCGGGTGGCCGACCGTGTGACGTAGCAGCGGGTGCGGTGACAGAAATGCAGCAGCCAATGAGAGCTCAGTGCGTCGTCCTACCAGAGTAGTGTGGCTTGGGCCAGGACTTCTATGGATCTGTTCCAGGATTGTCAACATATCCTGAAAGCTTTTATATATTATTGGGCTACTTGAGGAAGTACAATAATGCTTTACTGTCATTACTTTTGTACAGGTTTTGATTAATGTTTTGTGTGTTTTTCACAAATAAATGCCCATTTATTTGTTTTAAATATATTACTTTATCAGTATGTATTTAAGTTCTTGGATCTTTCATTTAATCACTAACGATATCCGACTGAGTGCTGTGGTTGAATTTAGCTTCTCAGGTGCCACTCTCTCTCTCAACAAACCTAAAAAGTCAACTTTGACAGCATATGATTAAGAAAACAATTTCCTGGTTAAACCTGACTCATTGCACGGTCGGCAGATTAGTGCCGTTTTCCTGAAACAAATGGCTCAAGGCAGTGGAAACGCGCATTAATCTTTCTTTGTCAGCTGAGATGAAAGTCACAGTGGAGACCCAGGTTCAGCAAAGGTCATCCAGTGTTGAAAAGGTGAATAGCTGTAGCAACGCGACAGGTTTTGCTAATAAGGCAGAGGTTGTGTGTTTGAATCTCAGGGAGCAAACAAATTATGACCCTGCCATCTACTGTTAGTCACTTTGAATAATAATGTTGGACAAATAAGAAAAAAAATGAGTAGTATTATTGCAGCTCTAGGTAGGAATATCTTCCTGTTCTTGGTCTATTACGTCGTCATACCACCTCTTCCAGATTTGCCTTTAAAAACGTGTCAGTCACTTGAGTGAGAGACCAGTTTGGATTAGTCTCATTTCCTTGGAAACGTAAGCTCCTCTGTAAAGTTATGATTGATCTCTGCTTGATTATTATGCCCCAACCTCTTTCTGTAAATAACATATATATATTTTCTGGGAGAGTAGTGAGTGTGACACCACTGGTTATAAATTCTTTATCTTGATTTATGATGAAGATAGGGAGAAAGGAAAGTTCTGTATATTTTTGTTTCATGTTTTGTTTGAGTTGAGACGTTAACCTCCCTCATTTACGGCATTTTTGTTTGCTATTTTAAACTGAAGTTCGTCCCCTAAAATTATAGTCAAATGAAACAATATCTCACTTCATTTCATTTTTCTCCCCCTAAACTGGGTCCTAATACTGTTAAAAAAAAAAAAAAAAAAAAACATGAATGGAGTTACACAATGACACCGAACAGACATGGAAACTGATTTGTATTATATTGCACATATAATCATGGATTGTTGAAATATTTGGTAACATTTGGAATTGGCAGAGACTATAGGTTAGGATTTTGTATAATTTCTCCATTTCCAGAAAAGTTGGGATATTTTCTAAAACAATAAAAACAGAAATGTGTGAAATATAAATTCATGTGAACCTTACGGAAGAGGATTAGGGCCACCATGAAAATATTATTTGAATTCTGACTTTGTCAGAATTCTGTCTTTTTTCTCAGAATTTGGAGATTAAAGTCAGAATTCTGAGGGAAAAAAAAGTCAGAATTCAAATAATATTTTCATGGTGGCCCTAATCCTCTTCCGTAGAACCTTTATTTGACTGACAAAAGTACAAAGAAAAGATTTTCAACAGCTTTACTGGTCAACTTAATTGTATTTTGTAAATATACGCTAAGTTAGAATTTGATGCCTGCAACTCACTCAACCAGAGTTGGCACAGTTGAAATAAGATTGAAAAATGCAGTGAATATTCTAGTAACACCGGTTTGGAAGACTCAACATTAAGCAGGCTAAGTGAGGTTTCACGATTGGACATAAAAGTAGCGTTCCTCAAGAGCAGAGTCTTCGCCAGTAATCATGGGTCCAGGCTCACCCCTTTGTGTCAAAATTCGTGAGAGAATTGTTAGTCAGTTCAGAAGAAACATTCCTCAACGGAAGAATGCAGAGAATTTCGGTTTTGCAATATCTACAGGAGAAAATGTGAAAAGATTCAGAGAATGCAGAGACATCTCAGTGCATGAAGGGCAAAGGTGGAAACCACTGTTGACTGGACGTGATCTTCGAGCCCTCAGGCAGCGCTGCCTGAGAAACCGTAAGGCTACTGTGACTAATGTAGCCTCCCGGCCTCGGAAGCACTTCAGAAAACCCGTCACTTAACACAGTCCGTCGCTGCACCCAGAAATGCAACTTGAAACACTATTATGCAAGGAGAAAGCCCTACATCAGGGCTATTCAACTCAGGCCCTCGATTCCAAATCCAGGCCTTGTTTTCAGTTCTCCCAGGTAGTTAGTTCAATAATTACTGATTCTGATTGGTCAGAGGCTTCACACCTGGCTCACAGGTGAAGGAAGGCTGGAAACCCAGCAGGGCCCTTGAGGACTGTGGGTTGAATAGCCCTGCCCTGCATCAACTCTACGCAGAAACGCCGGCGGGTTCTCCGGGCCCCAGCTCATCTCAGATGGACCGAAAGACTGTGGAACCATGTGCTGTGGTCAGATGAGTCCACATTTCAGCTTTTCGGGAAATACGGGTGTTGAGTGCTATGTGCCAAAGATGAAAGCGCCCATCCAGATTTCTATCAGCAAAAGAGCCAGCATCTGAAATGGTACGGGGGGGTGTCAGCACTCATAGCATGGGTGAGTGGCTTTGACTCTGAGCCATATACAGTGAAACCTCAGAACTCGAATTTAATCCGTTCAGAACTCCGGATCAAATCCTAAAAAGTTCGAGTTGTGATCGAATTTTCCCCATAAGAAATAATGGAAAACCAGTTAATTGGTTCCCGGCCTCAAAAAATTGCACCTAAATATGTTTTTTTTAGCATTTAAACACAAAATGAACCGGATAAAACAAGAAGAGCATATACTGTACTAAACACATCTAAGCACATTTACCAAAACAGTAATTTGTAAAGTAAGAAAATAAATGTATCCAAACAATGTGTCCTGCCCCGATAGTCCATTCTTTCCGTGTGCCACTCTTTCCTTAACCCCGTGTGGAATCCCCATGTGATCAGCTGTTTCTGGTTGTTGTCATTAGCCCTCTGTATTTCGTCCGCGTTTCAGTTTGGTTCCCCCTTCCGGTCATTGTATTGTCCATCTGCGTTTTGCCTGCCTTACCTGTAATTAAACCCCGTATTCCCCGATACCCTGACGTCTGCGCCTTTATCACCCTTCCGTCCCCGCTCGGCACAACAATATTATTATAATTAAATGTATTAATGATTTATTATTAATATTAAGATAATTAATAAGAAATCTTTATTTTAAAATGTATTTTATTATATAGTAATAATTACCGTTACTATCATTGTCTAAATGTATTTTTACTGTCTAAATATATGTATTCAGTTAATGTATAAACATGCACGGTGCTATCACAGCTAATTCGAGGCTGAGACTGAAGCTTTACCCTTTGTTTCCACTGAGAGACGTACAAGTTTCCCTGCATGTACAAATTATCTTAGGTCAGCATTCACGGTTTGACTTCTGAGATTCAGATCGAGCTCTAGATAATTTTTTTTTCGAACTGGTTGGTTCGACTTTTAAGAAATTCGAGTTCTAATGAGTTCGAGGACTGAGGTACCACTGTATTAGGATTTTAGAGAGACATATATTACCATCAAGGCGACGTCTCTTCCCACGACATCCATGCTTATTTCAGCAGGCCAATGCCAGACCTCATTCTGCACAGGCTACAACCATGTGCCTCGTAGACACAGAGTGCGTGAGCCTGACTGGCCTGCTGTCAGTCCAGATCTATCTCCTATTGAAAATGTATGTCGCATCAAGAAGAGGAGAATCAGTCAATGGCGACCACGGACTGTGGAGAAGCAAGTCTTACATCATGCAAGAATGGACAAAATTTCCAGTTGCAAAATCACTGCAATTAGTATCCTCAATTCCAATTAAAAAGTGTTAGTAAAAGGAAAGGTGATGTAACACAATGGTAAATGTGCCTCTGTCCCAGGTTTTGTTGAATGTGTTGGAGCCATCAAATTCTAACTTTGTGTATACAGACGCTCCTCTACTTACGAATGAGATACGTTCTGTATGGGCGTACATAACTTGAAATGTTCGTAAGTCGTTATTCAACATCGTTTTAAGGGTATACACAAGTACAAAGAACTAGGATGCTGGGAGTCCGCACGCTACGCTGCTGCACGGTGGGAGTAGTGGCCAGACTACGTGTACTAGGCGGAATTGGCACACAGAAAAAAAAAAAATTGATGTTGCGGACAGGAAACGGGAGTCCAATGAACACAATTTGGACTTACAGTCCTCTTCGTTCGTATATCTGAAAGTTCGTAAGTTAAAAGTTTGTAAGTAGAGAAGCATCTGTATTTACAAACTACAGGTACAATTATGTTGGGGTCAGTGAGACTGTTGAAAATCTTTTCTTTGTACTTTTGACAGTTTAATTAAAGTTCACATGAATTAACCAGTCACAGATATTTGTTCTTATGGCATTTTAGAAAATATCTCAACTCTTCTGGAAATGGGGTCTGTATTTGCATAGTGTTTACCTGTATGCAGTTTATATAGACTGTAGTTTAAAGCCATACACTAGATTTAAAGGGACATTTTAGTTTGTCACATTTAATTACATTTCAGACAAACAATCATACATCCGAAGATGGTTACTCAGGTGCAGTAGTTGATATGCTCCTTCTGGCTTGTCATTCATAATGTGATGTTTCCACGTCTGCTTTCTGGGGCTGGCTTTCTACAGGTCTTTCCTCTGGAAGGCCACTTGATCCATGACCCCTCCCTGCTTCATTTCTGAAACCTCTCTCCTGAGGGCAGCCAGTCTGGCCTCGTTGTGCTCCATAATTCCCACACAGTGCTGAAGAAGAATGACTCATTTAGGGACGTGTTCATAGCTCTGTCTGCATCAGGTGGCAGGTGTACGGCTGCAGATTGTTAATCCTGCAAAGTAACTAGACTGTCATCATTCTGTCAGGCAGGGGAGTGCTTAAAGGGACCAAGGTATCATGATGAGCTGCTTCATCAGCACCTCCTACAGGGCTGACAGAGGACTACAAGTTGCTGTTCACATACAGTGAGAGATTCCAACTGGTGCTTGTTCTGCTACTTTGGTGCAGTGTGAGCTACAGTCAGCAAGGATACTGGCATCCTTGGTCAAGGTGTACTTCATCACAGTGGATATCTTGCCTTTGCCTCTTGATGAACATAAACAAAAATATACAAAAGAATCAATCTTTAACCTTCAGCAGTGCTGCTCTTTCCAGCCAATCCCTGGCCTCCATGTCCTCAGGGGAGTCAGGTGACCCTCCTTTCCGACAGACCCTTCTCAGCTGCTGAAGTTCAATAACTAACGCAATAATCTGAAATGAAGTATGAGGTCTGCATCTTAAAACGTCAAGGCAGGGCTCAGAATTTGAGACAGTGGATAAAAGCACAATCCTTATAGGCAAGAAGTAAGGGGAAAAAAAGCCAACTTCAGAGGAAAAATCCACATTTTCCATATTCAGGGTTAGTCATTGGACTCTGGCCATGGTTAAGTAATAGAATACATGCAACTGTATCAACTGGTGGATACTACTGGTGGAGAAAAGTCATGTGACATCCTAGGGCTCACCTGATTGGCCACATCTGGGTATTCCTGCCAGGGGTTCCAGTGACTGGGCCTAGAGCCAGCAGCCTTCTGGCCATTCTGAGCACGGAACTGGGGGTTACATTCAGTGGACAGATGAAATAAGTCAGAGGAGATGGAAGATGGGGAGAGGTTTCTTATGTGTGACTGTAACATGAATGGCATGGATAGCTATTAAGCATCATTAGCTTCCATAACGGAAATTTGCAGAACACAACTGTGACAGCCAAAATGGCAACAGAATCTCACCATGTTGTATGCCCAAGTTCTTCCCTCGTAGTATTTTCTTTTTGCAAAGATCATCATTTTATTATAATAAATGATCATTTGATTGCTTAGAATCCACCTGCACATTGCATGACATGTATATGCCTCTGATCCTCAGAAAGGTGTGTTTCGGAGCACGGTGACATATTTTGTCTCTCTCTTGGTCTGTCTTACCTGAAAGTGTGACCATGCCTGTTGCTCCTGTCCATATAGTTGAGGACTGTGTGTTCTGGAAGACACTGGGCATGCATGGGCATTCTCTCCATAGACAAAGTATGTATGCCACGAGAAATCCTGTGCAAAGAAAAGCTGAAGGCAGCCAGCTTCTAATTACACACACTGTGTGACTAACAACCCAGGGCGCTTGTCCAAGGGCTGATGGAAAGAACTACTTTTGCCAGGGAGAAGGTGATGCAGATGGCTATTTATTTTCCCTAAGTGCTGTGACAGATGAATGGTGCCAGAAGAAATAAATTAAATGAAAAAGAAAGAAAGAAAATGAAATACTTGAGCCAAAAAGAAAAATGTACCAAAACTAATCCCATGTTTTGGCAAACAGTGCCCTGAGATTTAGGCTGTACTCATATGCAGTCAACCATCATGCTCCTTAAATAAATGGTTATCCCCCCAAACCCAACCAAGGGCAGCTTAATACCCTCAATAATTTCAACATTGCAGTTCCATACATCATCATTACTTAACTTCAATATTCTCCAGTTACTTCAACCATTTTCTCCATAAACAAGATAAAATACACAAACTAGAAATGTAACCCCCTCTCCAAACAGCAACAATTCCACTGCTCCAGGATTGTCTAGTGTGACATGGAGACTACAAATCCCATCAACCACCAGTTCTTGGGGCCTTTGACCCATGAAGGTATCCTTCTGGCATGCCTGACAAAATGGGTGAGTAAAACCATACAAACCCAGTATCCTTCTTAACAATCATTACCCTTAAGTGCTTCACATATAATATAAAAACGATGAATAAAAACCTTTAATATAATCTTCACATCCAGTTGGCCGTCATGTACACTGAAGATAATTACAACAGCCTGCGTTTGTATTTTGTTTATGGTGAGACTATGTTTCTTCCACGCCTGTGGCCGTCTGAAATTTGCTGTGCTATGCTGTATTTCATGTATAATGATTTAAACCCAATGAAGCAGACATTCTCCATTAACAGTCCCCAAATGGCTGGGAGGGAGCAGCCCCACCAGGATGTGTACATGTGATAGTCTTGTGTGCCTTACCTGGGGACGTCTTTTTCTTCGGGGAATTCCCTCATCAGCACCTGCCTCAGATCAAGCTGTCGAAAGGCCTGAGTAGGAACGACATTTTCCTCACTGTTTATGGGAAAAACGTTTTCCTTTGGGTAAACAGCAACCACAACCGCAGAGAAAAGTGCTTGTGTCATCAGTACAGCAATCCAATATAAACAAATGGCTGGTTCATTTGACTAACTGCTCAAACAATTATGACTTATCATATCCATCTTTTTTTTGGGACACTAGACAAAAACATTAATGTGACAGATCATAGTCCAAATAGACAGGGTGAGAGTTAACAGGATCATCCCCCCCCTTCTTGGCTCACCGGCACGGAAACATTGAATTCAATCTTAGCCAGGCTAGAATCAAGGGCCACCAATGCCCCAAAACTTAAAAAAAAAAAGAGTAATCAGCACAAACTGGCCCGGCGGCCATGACAGGGGAAAAAGTGACCGGTGAGCTCAAACCCCAGGATATAAAAACACATTTTCAAGACAATCTTGGTGTCTTTTAATGTCATACAGAGGTTATGTCACCAGCTCACAGATACAGACTCACTGCGTAGCAGCAGGGGGGCAGACAGCATATTATAGTCAGGCTTGGTGGTTCTTGGCCATTTCATAAAAGCGAAAAACAGAAAATGTGCCCTGTCATGCAACTAGATTTAATGGCTGAATATTTTTAGCTCCAGCTAGAGTTCTTGCTTGTTGTCATATTGCAGTATCATATTTCATCACTGGTCATTCTGGTTTGCCCTGTCCCCGTAATTCCCTTTTTTAATTATAAATAATCCCGCCCCCAACCCACCACTCGCCAGGCCTGAAACGAGCTTGTTCTGATTCCGCAGGTCCTTACAGTTCTTGTGCCGTATAGGGACCTGCCCTCATGTTCCTCCATGGACCTGTGCCGTTAAGGCAGTGCATTATGGGTTGTGGGCACCCTGCATAAGAAAACATTTTCTGGAGGGAATTTAGCTTTGGAGTTTTTGTTATTTTAATCTGGAAATAGATCACCCTTCTGCAGCTTAAAAACAAAAGATTCCACAGACATTAAGATTCCACAAGATGCGATCACAAAGTCTGTGGTATCCAAATCGTCTGGAAGTAGTGAAGCTTATAATTTGATTCTGCTACAGGGCCTTGGTTCAGAGAGATAACCAATCAGATTGTAGAGGAGGCTGGACCAAGACATCTGATTGGTTGGTCCTGGCTTCTCTAGTTGCTTGGGCCCACCTCCTCTCCAATCTGATTGGTTATCTCCCTGAACCAATCATCTTTCCATCTGCCCTCAGAGCATGTTTGTGTAAGTAAAATTCCCATGAGCTTGTTTTTAGAGTGCATCAGTGACGGGCAAACTGGGCCAGCTGGATTGGCAAGCAGCTCGAACCCTCCACACCTCGTCTCATTTCCTCACAGAGGGAAAGCAGGAATTTTGTCTGAAGGCAAGCAGACAACAGGCAAAGCACTGTCAACATGGGAAGAAATCAAACATTCCACGTGAATAAATGACCCAAGGTCATTTGAATGACGGAAAAGACACCTTTACAGGGCAGTAACTCTTTATGTTGTGGCGCAGAATGGTAATTCATAGCCATTGCATTGTGGGGGCAGTGTGTGGCTCAACAGATTAAACCAGTGACGGGAAGGTTGCTGGTTTTAATCCCGGAGGTAGGAGACCGATGCCAGTGTTGGGCCTCTGATCAAGGCCCTTAAGCCCCAGTCTGGCTGCCCCTGTGCTGTGACCCCCAAGCTTTCACTTGTATATGTGTCTGTGAGTCTCATAGGGAGCAAGATGGGAGAGGCAAGGCGATACGAGAACTTCCCCACAGGGTTAAATAAAGCATCACTATTGTATTCTAGTTTTGACACATATCTCCTGCATCCGTGTTTCTCCACCCGGTCCTCTGGGACCCTCAGAAGGTCCATATTTCTGCTGCCTGCCAGACACTGGCCTATATCACCCAGGTCCTGTATGGGGGGAGTTACCTCAGGCCCCTGACAGGCGTGACTGAGCCCTGACTGTCTGAGAAGGGAGGAGGGGATAGCCACAGAGGTAGAGCCCTCCATGTTCTCCAGCGGCACACACACCCGTTGGGGTTCCAGCTTCTGCCGTTCCTCATCCCCTTCTTCCACCTCCTCCTCTTTTTGCTCTCGGGCACGGTCTCCTGTATCCACTTCCAAGGCCCTGTTAAAGCACAAACAGATGTCCTTTAGCCAATCACGCAGACCCCTCCCTCCCCCATACAATAAATAAAACATTTAATAAGCTCTCCTTGGCTCCGGCAGCTGAAACATTGTGTTCACACGGACTGGAACCCATTAAGGGCAAAACCAAACCAAACTTGGGGGCACTCGAGGCGAAGGGGATGTTTCCACTAATGGGGGGTGCTATGCGCAGCTTTCAGAGAGAACATCGCTACCCAGGGTCTGCAGATATGTGGTTCCCAGTCTTCTCGTCCTGGGGGTCCCTCCGGGGGAGCAGCCTCTCCCACTGTGACCCTGGAGCTCTTAGTGGTGTCGCCAGCAGTCTCCGCTCTACACCCATCCAAGCCAGCCTCCCCTGCAGCTCCTGAGCCCCCGACAGCTGCTCCCCTTCCAACTGGCGGGGGGCGGGGGCAGGGAACATGACAACAGGGAGCACTGACCTCCAGAGCTACGGTACACAGGCAGTTTCAGCAACAGTCAAGTTTCAGCTCAAAACAACATAGACCTTTATGCTCTAGCCATAGACATGATCACATGACTGATATGATCACATCACTGATATGATCACATTACTGGTATGATCACATGAATGATGGCACATTCAATTTCTGTATCCTTTTCCTTTAAGGTACGATGCAGTTAAGCTCCATAAACTATTTCTGCCAGCCTTTGGAGGTTTGCCTGAAGTAGGCCTGAAGGGAGGCCGGATACCGGCAACCTGATAACCCTGCAGGCCTGCTGAGAAGGTCAGGCCTGCCTGTGGGTCTCCAGCAAGGCTCAAGGTCTCCTTGCCCTCTGAAAAACAAATGAGCACCGCTAATGTCTACATTCAGGCTTTGTCTACAGATACGGAGACATCATAGAATTGTATGCATTTATACTGGGATGTAAAGTTATTGTGTATATGTTATCTTGTACAGACTTTTTGGTAAGATAAAAACCTATGCTAATCTACAAATATTCTATTATCTCAAATAAATTAATCCAAATTTGACTAATTTCGCTTTTTTGCACATACTGAACTACTTTTCTTTTGCTGGCCAAGGGCTGTCATTATATGCTAGATTAAATAATTCATTAATTATTTCATGCAGTCAGATGTGTCAAGGTGTTGAATTGTGGCCCCGCTGGCTTGAAGCCACTTGCAGCTTTTGTCAGGCTGCTTTGCAAACCACATAGGGCTGTACAAATAAGCGGTAGGTTTGTTGTCAAGGGGGGGCCTCGGAGTGAAATACTCCACCTATCAGTTCAGTCTCGTTCTTAAAACGGAAAGGAAGAGGCCGTCATCCCCAGCGAGGTCAGAGAGTCATTCCTCCGTCCATTGTCCTCAGAATCACCCTCATGGCCTGATACAAGGCCTCTGATTCAGGAGAACAAAAAACAAATCCCAGAGTCTGTGTAGCCATGGTACATGTGCTAAAAGTCACATGACAAGCTGCAAGATGACATCCGTAACTACTCTCACTCAAAATGGAGTTGTTTTTGTTCCAGTTCAGTAACAGGGCCAGTAATGCAGCCTTTTAGTTTCCCAAAAGCTACAAAGTAAGCTAGTCTATCTTCCGCCTCACCATTTCACCAATGGGAGTTTTACTTATAGGAAAATGTTCTGAGGGCAGAAGGGAACATGATTGGTTCAGGGAGATAACAATCAGATGTCTTGGACCCACCTCCTCTACAATCTGACTGGTTATTTCTCTGAAACAAGCATTGTTTCTTCTGCCCTCAGAACATTTTTGTGTAAGTAAAATTCCCACTTTTTCTCCCTTCTTTGTTTTGGTTTTGTGTGAACATTTGACACAATTGTGAGATTTTTAAATCTGGGTCACTTGCATGAGCAGGTCCTTACATCAACCAGGAAATTCACTCCTGTAACTTGTCCTGCAACCCAGAACAAGCTGGGTTCCTTATGACTGACGGCCTGGTCTACTTTGTACTCGAGAAATATCCCTCTTACACTACAGCCTGGATAACCTGCAGGCAGGGCTGGTAGTGTAGCAGATATGAATGGCTTTTCATTTCAAAAAAGTAATGTGGCCCTTTCCCTTTTAGACGAGGAACCAGTTTCGCATCGTCTGTTAGGGCCCAGAATGTGGTGTGTTTCCATTCCAGATCTCCCGTCACCTAGGTCCTCCCAGTCATTCAGAAATGTAATGCTTAATGAGCTGTTAGGTCACTTATTTCATGTATCCAGTGGAAAACCGTTGAGGAATATAATTGCATAAAATCTGAGTAAACAAATTACAATCAGAGCAGATTAACTATGTCACATGATCTGCCTGTTGTGTAAGTAAACCGGTCAGAACAAACCGGAGCCACATATGAAGTTTGACTGCATCTATACCTGTGAGTTGCTACCTGGGAGGCGTAAGTGCCATAAAAATGACAAACTGAATTTACACCTCACAAAAGACACCAGAGTCTATACACAAAGACAGACAGACACACACACACAGACACAGACCTGTACTCATATCTTTGTGGGGACTGTCCATCATTTCTATGGGCAAAACCTTAATCCCAACAATGACGACTTAAACGCTACCGTAACCAAACAAAAGTCTTTTGGGGTTTTTAGTTTTTTGATTGCAGTCACAGATTTATATAAATCTGAGTTTCCCCTTGTGGGGACCGAAAAAACGGTCCCCACAACATCAAAACAACAGGTTTTTATCACATTGTGGGGACATTTGGTCCCCTCAATGTAATGTATACAGAAAAAATGATCTGCGCCTGCCATCCGGACACAGGTATTGGATTCTGTACAACATCCTGAGTCATCCTGCACCGTGTCTCAATGACTGGCGTCCGCTGGACTACGGGTTCACCATCCTATGCGTAGGCTGCCGTTAACACCAGCGCAGACACGGCTGTGTTTGGAGTGGTGCTGTAACTGGGAGGCATGGACTGATGATGAGTGGCCATCTTCAGCGATGAATCTCGGTTCTGCATTAACACGGTTGACCATCGTTTGAGAATATGGGGGCGCCGAGGGGAGAGGACCAATCCTGGCATCATGGCGGGGGGAACCATAGGGTAGGACTTCAGGTCGTCTCTGATAGTGATTTGGGGGACCCTGACAGCACAGCGCTACGTCAGTGACATCCTGCGTTTCACCCCTCCTGAGACAGCAGCCTGGTAGAGTCCTTCAAAAAGACAACGCCTGTCCACACACGGCACGTGTGTCTATGGACTGCCTGCGTCATGTTGAGGTTCTCCCATCTTTCCCCAATCAAACGTGTGGGATCAGCAAGGACGTCAACTCAGACCAAGTGCTGATCTGCAGGATCTTGAGGGCCAGTTACAACAGCTGTGGGCCGACTTGCTGTCCAACTCCCTTCTGCACCGTATCACCGCATATATCCAGGGCCAGGGGGTGCCACACCCTACTGACATGGGACCAGCAGTGTGCCCATACTGCCGACTCTGTGGCGCGTTTGATCCGATATTATAATCATTGCGATACAGTCGCGTGACCTTCCACCACTCCAACTTTTTTAATAAAATAACAAAGTAACAAAGTTACCCCTCCCAAAAAGGATTCCTCTCACCTGAGGCATTCTGAATCAATCCTTTCTTAAGAAATGCTTTGTGTGCTTGTTTGTAGCCCAGAATGTTGCACTATTCTTCCCAGACCAGTTTGGTTGCCCAGAGATACGGCTGACAAGTCCATAGTTTGGGGACTTAGAAGAACCTCCCTCCAGCTTAAACATTAACTGACAGAATGACAGAAGGGGGTGATGGAGGGCTGACTGACCTCTGTCCTATCACTGTGCTTTGGAAAACACCAGCGAGTCCAAAGTGTACACTTCCTCAATTACAATCACTGGTGTTTGACAGCACTTAGTCATGAAGCTTGTGCACATACCTTATGGTGTCCTTCTCAACCTAGACTGTTACATTACTTATACATACATTTCCAAAATTTTGAATTCACAAATTGTGCCCCTTTCCATTCAGGAATTGGAGTTTAAATTCAACTGGCAGCACCCAATGGAATTTGAATTGGAATGACAGGAAAAAGAATTCATTTGAATAATTAAAAAATGCAATCACAGAGAACAGGAATGCAATTTAATCTAGTAAAACATAAATAATTATACAGTATAAACTGAGCTTGTATATGTACAAGTGCATAGAGTGTACCTCACATTTGCACTGTTGTAAGAAAGAAAATGTGTATAACTTTTGGTCTATTCGAATGGATATGAAACTGCCTTATGATTGCCCTCTAATTCCCTTTCCGTGGGTACATGTATTGTTTTTGCATATTAACGGTTTGCGTATCATCTGCATTTTTGACGTCTGCAGTAACGTTCCTTGAGAATCTGTGAGCCAGTGATAGGTTACTTGTTTGACTGTAACACCACATACCTGTAGTGTTTTACTTGTGTGAATTGCATTTTTAAATTATTGCTTGCTAACAGTTTATTTTTTAACATTAAGTGTAAATGAATATATACATCCATCCATTTTCCAAAACCGCTGAATCCCAACTGGGGTCGCAAGGGGGACCAGAGCCTACCAACCCTGGGCATTTGCCAACACACCGCAATGAATATATCCATGCTGTAAATACTTTGCATTGTTGCTCCTATTAATTGTCTTCTGTATAGAATAATATTAAGGCAATGTGTCTCATTTTCTTCACTGGACGGGCACCCAAATATCTTGCTCTCCATTACACAGGCACTTCATCACATTTGCTCACTTGGAAGGGCACATCATGATAGCCCACTTGGACGGGCATTGCACCACATTCTCCCCACTAGAAGGGCACTCGTTAAGCCACCTCATCACATTTTCTTGCTCAATAGGGCACATCATCCAACATTACCAGGGTGCTCTAGGTGGGGCTAAAGCATGTGAAGGGCAATCACTAGTGGTGTTTTTGCTACTCTAAAGGGCACTTTTCTGGCCATTTTTCAGCCCAGTAGGGCACAGGTGAGGAACTAGGAAAAGTTCTAGTAAGAAGAGAGAGATTTCTTTGGTTGGACACTGCAGTCATTATAGCCAGAACTGAGTTTTGGAGGAGACACTTAACTTCTCCTGTTAGAAGATTCACTATAGTGAACAAAATTAGTTACACTTTTTGGTTACTTTGTTTTAGACTTAAATGTTGCATTTTTTCAATGTGAATAGTATTAGATTTTGGTAACACTTTCATTTCTGCCCCTTCACTATTAACTGTTACTAATTATTTTAAAAGACTCATTCACAAACAAATTTAGAAATGTCATATCTTGCTCCCAGTATTTACAAAACTGCTCCTAAATCAGTTGCAAATAAAAAACAATGAGTTAGTAAGCACACACATAAATGAGTTATAATTGAGCATTTACAAGCTATTTAGTAAAGAATTTGAGAGTCCGGAGAAAGGTATCTTTGTAATTCATTTCCAAATTTGATCATAAGTAAATCTTTATGTTCACAAATATTATCAAAAGATTAGTAAGTTTATTAATAAATTAAGAAGCAAACTAAAGTGGCACTGACATTTTAACAATATATGTTGTTTAACATTTATGCATGTCATATAAAAATATTAAGCTGTATTGCTAAAAGCTGCAACTACACCATGTGTTTGAATTTATTTGAATTTCACTCTAAATGTACTTGGAATTGAAAATCACCTGCAATTCCAAAAAAAATCACAAGAACTGGAATTTTAGGAAAGTTTTCAGTCCAATTTTGAATGGTGCACAACCCTGAGATTTTATTTCGTACTTACACACACACTCTCTCAGGGCTAAATACCTCATGGCCTACTACTTACTACTGAACCTTCTAACCACAAGTAAACAAGAGTTGTGTTACAAGTCATATTATTTTAAAAATCTAATTTTGTTATATGCTGGCATCTCATTCAGGGCATGTTCTCTGTCACTGCTGCCTTTGATAAATGGATGGATGGATGGATAGAATGAGAACATTTCAGCTCCACCATCCCATATCTGACAGGGAAGTAGGGATAAGTCATAACCAGGTAGTTTTGCAGTTTTTTTTTTTGGACACCTACCCAGCTCTACAAAAAACAAAACGAAAAAAATCACAGCATGGGAAGTAACTGCAATGAAAAAGTGAAATCAGACATTTTTAATTAGGATTGCTTCATCAAAACATGGAAAAGAATTCAAGAACGAACATGGTCTGCTAAAGCACACCACATGAAATCAGAACCAAATAGAACAAAGACAGAAATGAATGAAAGCAGCAAGAAATTCTGCTGATCTGCCTACTTTACTTCATTGACTCCTAGTTGGTATAAGGTTGTAGTGGCATCACCGAGTTTTACCCCTAATCCAATCAAAACCTCACCTCATTGTTAACTTGAACAGAACAGTGCCCCCCAAGCATGTCATGAATCACACACAATACACCAATTAGAATGAAAATAAAAACCCACCACACCCTATATAATGCCTTTCATGTGCTAAGGCTACATAATCCCCCCCCTCCCCAACACTGAACAGTATTAAGAGGTAGGTATTTACTAGAGATTAACTTCAGGTCTTTAACCATTGGAGTATTTGCCATTTTGTATCCTGTCGGCATAGCAGAACAGAAACAGATACCAACCTAAGTATTGTCCTTTAGGGTGGGATGAGCTGGATCAGATGAGATAGCAGTATATGGACGGTTCTCTTTCATGTCATGCAAGAGCAAATTCTGAAGTTGATACGTTAAGCAAGTACATGCAATGGTGATGATGACTTCTTCCAAGCTCTTATCTTGAACATCTCGGGCTATCCTTTATTTTTCCAACCAGCCCTAAGGTCAGAACTGGGCAGAGTGTCCTGATATCAATGGAAATGTAGGCAGGGAAAGCAGACTGATTTTGGTTATGGGTTGATTAGGCTGTCAGTCTAAGACGGACCTTCAGCTGCACAACAGTTAATGGCTCTTTTTTTAAAATAAAAAAAAAAAATTACCCTGAGCAAACGATTATATTGTGAATTGGTGCCCCAGGAGTGAGCTGCAGAGGACAAACATTCAGCGACTGGCATGACTGGACAAATAGGACCTTATAAATGAGATGACAAGAAGCACAGAAAAGGCACAAAAAAAAAACAACAACATCTAAATAAGATAAAAGTTGCATACGATCAAATTCAAGTGCGATTTCTCACAAATACACAATGAGTTAAAGTACAATATCTCAGAGAATTTCAAACCCAGCATCGAACTAAACGAAGACATGTGGGAAAACAACCAAAAATAACTAGTTTTCCCTTTGTTACCAGTTTGTCGTCAGGTGTAATTAACAAAGCTTGTGTCCACCTAAAACCTGTGGTCTTGGAGAACTCTGACGTGCTTGGGGATCACATTTGGTCATAAACAGTTTTTTGTGCCCCACAACACACTGAAGTCATATAGATACAAGTTATTTAAGACATTTACATCTCATTGGTCAGCTGCAGTCATCGGACACTCCCACCTCCAATGAAGGCAGACAACGGCACGGCCTTGCCAACGATACGTGATGGACAAGTTATCTGAGACTTGGGGAGCAAATTCTGAAGTTGATATGTCCTCGTGCCAGGAACCTAAACCCTGATCTGACTTTAGAGAACCAAAGTGTGAGGTGCGCATATACAGAGCAGAGAGGAACATGCACTGTTCAGCTTATTGCTACAGACGCCTGTGGCGATGACCGATCCTGTACTCCTCATATGCGAATGCTGAATTTCAGAAGATGTTTTAGGAAAAGAGGAAGCTGAACCATATGTTTGCCGACTTCCCATTCATCTTGACTGGGTTCACCTAGTGTCTGTTTTACTTTACTGCTAATAACATGTTCAGTTGATTGTTTTTTTTGTTTTTTTTTTGGCCGTCAGCAATAGAATTACAAGCTATAAATATTTAAGATGCTAGCATTTGTCATCACCAGCCACAGCAGCTGGACAATAAAAGGTGACTAGTTTGACAAAAAGCCCCCCAAAGCTGTGGCACTTTCAAAATCTCTCAAGGTCCAACCATACAAAACATCACAGTATATTGAAGGGGAATATTGCATAAAAACAGAGACACAATGGTCCAAAGGCCCCGACCGAAGATAAAATGTCCTGAAGTCCATTTTTAGGTCAAACTCTTTGAGGCAGACTGCAGTCCCAACAAACTGCCAAGGAGAAAAGTCTGTTACGCAAAGGCATTTCAAATGGCTGCCACATCGTCCCAGGGTTTTGTAAATGGAGTTTTATTCTCCTTCCCACAAGCCCACTGTGCCATGAAACCTGACCACAATTTTACTTCATACAAGTACAAAAAAAATCCAGCTGCAGAGAATTCACCTCAGGCTCTACAAAATTAAATAGAACCAGTGGAGGTACTTTTGAAATCCTGACAGATTCAGGAAGTACTAGGCCTCCTAGCTCACATCATTAAGGCACATTTGGTTACTGTATCCATTAAAAGCAAAAATAAAATATATATATATATAAAAAAAAAAAAACGAACAAACACACCCAAGAAAAATGAAAGCTTCGACAGTCCCTCAATGATGGGGTTTCCCCACATCAACAACGATCTTCGTATATAATATATCTTTCTCGACCCTGACAACCCTGTATGACAGGGAGTTGATTCCATCACTGTTCATTGTATCCCGCGTGTGTGCAATTCTGTCAAACCTGCAACAAAAAAAAAAAACAACGTTAACCGATGAAAAATGGGAACAAGAGTGGAGAGGAATCAATGACTGGAATGAGAAATGTATTGTCTCACACACACACACACACACACACACACAGTGTAGTTGTATAGGGCTTAGAACCATTACACAGCACCAAAATGTTCCAGCACTTGCAGTGACAAATTAAGGTACTTTGACAGCAGCTGAAAAAACAGCCATTAATAAAAGAGTTAAACTGGCTTTGCTGATGCAGGGCACCAAACCATTACGAACCCCCTTGAGCGTCCAAGCCTGACAAATGCAGACAGTACCTCTGGGGATTGGGCTCGTTCCTCTCGTCTCTCTGATGTCGGATCATCCGGCACTTTCCGATCTCTCCGCTCGGCCGGGATATCCTCATCCCCCTCGAGCTCAGCCTGAAAGAAACGGGAGTTAAGGGCTGAGCATGAAGAGCGAGATTGATCAAAAGGACAATAAAGGCTTGGACAATCTGCAGTGTCATGTTCCCTGCACCGAAACACGTTATACATAAATTCGTAAAGAGGATCAGGAACCAGATACTTTCCACTGGTGTCACCTTAAACTGGTGTCACCTTAAGCATTTCAATTAATAGCATACTTACATAAAATACCAACATAAGATTTCATCCATCGTTTAGGTGAACAAATGCCTGATATACAGGACATTACACTGTGTCAGTGTATGCGTCCGATTGGATTTCAAGATCTTATTTCTGCTTTTAGGGTATAAAAGGAACAAGAGGATAAAGGCAGGCACTGAAAGCGTCATTCACAGTGACGTTGTGCAGCTGACTGTGTTACACTGTTGATCACCAGGGAGAGGTTCAGTTTAATCTCCGATATCCTCTGCTTACTTTGGCTCCTCTTATGTCCACAAGGTCACACCCACCACCCCACACAGTTTGTTCTGCTCTTCAGATACTCCATAATCTCATTTTATGTAGCTGGATCAATTTAATCCTGTGTCTATTGGGGGGGGGTGTTCTATCCAATAAATGTGAACACAATACATAACGCCAAAAATAGACCTCCTTTAAAATGATCAAGTCATTCATGACAGATGACAGAATAACCCGAAAAAACCTTTTCGAATTTTGAAAACACCTACAAGATCAGATATTTGAGGTTGAGAGAGAAAAAAAAAAAAACAGTGAAAAGGAATGGAAAGCAAAGTAAACCATTCTAAAATGCTTAAATAATCTAAGATCCAGTTCTGTAGGCTTGGGCAGCATGATAGAATAGAGGTTGACTAAAATACCAGACTGGATAGTTGAAGTGATAATTGCTGGATTCATCTTATACAGAAGCTTTAACAAATGCCAGGGCTCCAGTCTACGGACATTTAGTTGCATTTTGTAACCATTTTCGGAGTCAAGGCAACTAAGCTTGTGTTTGAAATGTCCACTCGCCCCCTACATAGTGCACAATATAGGGAGTTGGCCACTTTGCAGTGCTGTTACTGTAAAACGCGACCTGTAAATATTCACCAGTGCAACCTGCAAATAAGCCCAAATGTTTGTGTTTTTCTTTTTTATAACACAACATTTAAACTTAAACCTTTTTGTACATCATATGAAATGCCTCGAGAATTGGTGTGCGAGAGAGAGAGAGAGAGATACGGTGCTTTCCCACTGCAAGGACTTTTTTCCCGGAATCAGGAACTTGTAGGAACTTGATTCAGTTGTAGTTCCTTGGTGGCACTACTGGGGAGTGATTAACTTGCCAGCTGGTTGACCACAAGCACCAGTGCTAACTTGGAAGTAGCGCAGAAGTGCAGGGAAAAGAGATGAAAATAGAGGTTTCAAAAAAAAAAAGAAGAGCAGATGGAATTATCTTTGCTTTGTTACTGTTACTAGCCGAGTAAGAAGACTCTGTTGGCCAGATTTATTTATGAATTATAAACATGTAGCGGATCATATAAATAAAATATAACTAAAAGGCTATACCCCATTATGATCATGATCGATCCCCCCGGTAACTAACCAAAACCCCTGTTCATCCTACATTGTTTTGGGGTGGCGGTGTGAAGTTTAACCTACGAGCTTTTTGCACCTCCCATGCTGGATGACAATTTGCAACGTTACATGCCACCACGAGGGATGTGGCACTTGCATGGAAATTTTTATTGGGCTTTATTATTTGTAACCCACAGAAGACAATCCACAAATATGCATCATGATCCACAAATATTTAACTATCCACAAATATGTATTTGTGTATGTATTATAGTGATATGTACACGTGAAACATGGTTTGCACATTTGTGGATCACTTCTTGTCTATTTGTGGATTTTGTCCAGTTCATACCGTTATGGAGCCCATTCACTCACAATAATTTTGTGATCCCACTATACTTCTCCACTTGCTATTTGCTGCAACGTGACGGCAAGGATAAACCTAAATAATACAGACATGTCCTGTAAATTGTGCTTTAAGCATTAAACTATGGGGACAACGTACACCATGTAACTTTAATGTGTTTTTATACACATTAATTAATAATTGCACTGTGTCCATTCACCGCCAGTGACTTTAAGCAAGACAGCTGGGCTACTGAATGTGAAGTGCACCCATACAAACACTGAAATATATTACAAACACTGAAAGATATTTCAGTCGGAAAACTGGATATAAAGCTAACTTTACCGTGGTTTTGGAGTTAAGGTTTAAACTCGAACCCGTTTTCGGGAATATTTCAGAAGAGATCCGCATATCCATACATACAGTGAAGAAAAATTATTTGACTCCCTATTGAATTCCTAAGTTCACCCCTTTCATAAAGAAAAGAGAACTCTATAATTTCAATCGTAGGTTTATTTTAACATGACAGATTTTCAACAAAACAAACGGAACAAAAAAACCTTATGTAACAGCTACAAATCAATTTGTCATTGATCTAGGGCAGGGGTGGCCAATCTTAACCATAAAAGGCCGGTGTGTATGTAGGTTTTTGCTGCAACTCCCTAGATTACTAATTAGAGAACTGATTGAATGAAGAGTCCTCACACCTGGGTTTGAACAGCTGACCTACAGGTTATCCCAAAAACCTGCATACACACCAGCCCTTTGCGGATAAGATTGCCCATCCCTGGTCTAGGGAAATAATAATTTGATCCCCTACAAGCCAGCAAGAAATTAGGTAAAGTACATATGCACTAACAATACACGTAGTACTTAATCTAGGATTAACCAATACCAAGCCCGCATTTCCCATTTAAAGGCATTACTTTATTAAATAGTATTCTTGGGTCACTAACCTGTCTACATCTTCAATCTTATCACCATGGGAAATAACACATAGCTGTCTAAGGTCGTACATGGCCCCATCCATATAGCGCACTTGTACTTGAAAGATCGCAGGTTCAAATCCCCGACCAGCAAGACACCACTGAGGCACCCTGAGCAAGGTAACACCCCCAAACACCGCTCCCCTGGGAACTGAATTTAGCTGCCCCCTGCTATGTCACAACGTCACATATGGGTTAAATGCAGAGGACACATTTCGTTGTTGTGCACTGTGTGCTGTGGTGTGTCAACAATGACCACTGATCTCTAAACTTAAGGACATCAGAGACAAGATTGATCTTCACAAAAGATGGAATGAAGTATGTGACTATCAGCAAGCATCTTGGTGAGAGAGTGACAACTCATGGTGCAATTATTCGCAAGTGGAAGAAAGATAAAATAACTGTCAATCACCCTCAGTCTTAAGAACAGTGAGGGATAACCCCAGAACTCCACGGGAGGAGCTCGTTAATGATCTCAAAGCAGCAGGGACTACAGTCACCAAGAAAACCATTATGCTGTTACGGTTTGAAATCCTGCAGTGCTGGCAAAGTACCAATGCTCAAGAGGGGCCATGTTCAGGCCCTTCTGAAGTATGCCAATGAACACCTGGATAATTCCAGTGAGGCTTGAAAAAATGTGATGTGGTCAGATGAGATCAAAATTGAGCTGTTTGGCATCAACTCTACTCGCCGTGTTTGGAGGGAAAAGAATGCTGACTATAACCCCAGGAACACCATCCCTATTAGGCATGTAACGATGAATCACGAAATCGGTTAAAAATTGATGTAAATGTATGACGATTTAAACCGGCTGATGTAGAAAATGAATCGCTACATTAGCAGTACTTCACGGCACTTTAACAGAAAAACTGGGGTAATATTACATTTGATTTCACATCATCAGTTCGATGTCAGATGTCACTGCGTATTCATGTCGACGTCGTACATTAATTTTTGGTTTTGACCAAACGCGAGATGGCTGGCGAATTTTAAGATTGGGGGGATGTGTCCTCAATTTCAATCGGCGGTGTGGCAGCATTTTAGCTTTATGGTAATCACAAACGAAAACGGCGGGAAAAGCACAGATGACAAAAACTGCGTGCAAACATTGTAAAAGACTGATAACATATACAAATAGCACAACGAACATGCTTCAGCATGTCCACCAGAAACACAGTGAGCTCAATTCACCACCGCCAGAGCGAAGATTATTAAACGGGGCAAACCACACTAAAAAGCTGCACATGCAAGCCTTAGTTTACTTGGTAATGCTTTAAATTAAGTGCACCTTCATAATGCATTCATTATGCATTTATAGAACATTCAGTGCACCTTCATAATGCATTCATAAGCAGCATGCAAGTACACTAACATCATAACATCCCTTAACAGCTTTAATATACATTAATAACAAACATTACATGATTATACAATTATAATGTTTCTTATTATATAATGTGTTATTACTGTATATTACAGCTGTTAAGGGATGTTAGGATGTAAAGCTATACATGCATGATGTTTATGAATGATTTCTGAGTACTTAATGAATACATTATGAAGGTGTACTGAATGTTTTATGAATGCAATATAAAAGCATTATGAAGGTGCAGTTGATGTAAAGCATTACCGTTTATTTACAGTATTTTTTTATTTTGATTTTTTTTAAACAGTATTTTATTGAATTTCAGTTGCACTGTTAAGAGGACACATTTTGCAAGTTTAGAAATATAAAGGAGTCTATTTTAATAAATTTGCAGCTCATTCTGTTAAAAAATCGTGAGAAAATCATATTGTGAGCTGAGTGTCACATCCCTAATCCCTACTGTCAAACACAGAGGCAGAAGCATTATGCTTTGTGGGTGTTTTTCTGCCAAGGGTACAGGACGGCTGCACTGCATCGAAGGAAAGATGGATGGGGCCATGGAACTTAAAATCTTGGAAGAGAACCTCCTTCCTTCAGCCAGGGCACTGAAAATGCATTGTGGGGTGGGGGGGGGGGGTCTTCCAGCAAGACAAGAACCCTAAGCTGCTTCAAGAAGCAGCACATTAAGGTCATGGGGTGCCCTAGCCAGTCTCCGGACCTTAATCCTATAGAGAACCTATGGAGGGAACTCAAGCTTCGTGCATCCAAGTGACAACCTAAAAAAAAACATTTGGAGGAGGTCCGCAAAAAGCGGGGGGATGAAAATTCTTGCTGACCTGCATGCAAACCCGGTATCCTACTACAGGAAAGGTCTGACAGCTGTGCTTGCAAACAATGGTTATTCTGCCAAGTACTAAAGCATTTGTTCCAAGGGATCAAATATTTATTTCCCTAGAAAAATGACAAATTGGTTTGTAACTGTTACACGATGACTTTTCCTTGCTTGTTTTGTTGATAATCTAATCTTTTGCTGTTAAAATAAACTTACCAGAGAAATTATAGACTTCATTTCTTTATCAATGGCTCAGCTTAAGAATTCAGAGTTCCCTCACTGTACACCATCAAGCCAGAGTACCTGGGAGGTATAGCCAAAAGTGGTTTCGGGTTTATACCTTAACTATGACATAGTGGTAAAGTTAGCTTTGTATTGAGTTTTCTGGCTGCAATATCTTTCAACAAAACCAAGCAACACCCCTCAGTATTCCAGATTTTTTCATGGGCAAATTTTAATTAATATATCAATGGGGACATTCTAAAACACAACGTTAGAGAGCTTAATGCGGCTACATGTACCAGAACAGCAACCGATAATCACCAAATTTCTCTCAGACATATCTGGTCATAAAGAGACTACTCAGACTACTGTCCTTGTCAAAGTATACATGCACAGGAGGGGAATCGATTTATTGACTGAAGTATGTCTGAAGTATGGCTACAGTAGATTGCGATATGGCTCCTGTTAGCTTGTTAGAATTGGGCTTTTGTCACAGATATAAAAAAATTATAAAATTATTAATGGATGCATGGAGAAATTAAGTGACACAACCTTTAATTGTGACCTGGTCAAAAAATGCAACAAAATCAGGATAGCTGACGAAATAAAGTATTTTGTGTGATATACTATGAGAGCACAATATTGGAAATTTTTCAAATACTGCAATGTGATTTTGTTGCAATAAATATGTGGGTATTTATGAAACAAAAATGGAGTTCAACAAATTTCTCACAGACCTGTCTAGGAGTGACAGCAAGGATGGAAATGACTACGACTGTCTTGGAGAACGCATGCAGTGCTCATGCAAAAGCAGTGGAGGTAAACTTTAAATTGATTTTTAAACATATGCTAGATAATCTTGAAAAGGAATAATCATTAAAATTGCAAAACTTGTTAGGTTTTTTTCCCCTATGACAGAGTAAAAATGTTTTAGCGAGACAAACTCCCCACCCTATATCATCTGTATGAGATTTAAAGAAAGATAAAGCCTGATCTTAATCTAGCTGACTATGTTCGTATTAATATCACGTCGTCCAGTCCTACTCTAGCCATTTTTCGAATTCAGTACAAAATACCCCGCCTCGCACTGATGTCATTCGGCACTGGTACCAGTTTTTATGCCAGTGGATAACCAACACTTTGAAGTACCGTACTTTTGGTACCTTCTTGAAGTACCAAACGTACAGTACCTGGTGTGGTGGACAAGCACCCTTAGTAGAGTGGAGAATTGTACAGCGCTGTACGTCCTCTGCTATGCTCCATGCTTCTTCTGTGTTCCGGCTTCTTCCGTTACTTCCGGGTCAAAGGCCATGGGGAAACTTTGGAGCATGCGCAGAGTGCCCAAGCCAGTTTGAGTCTGATTGAATGTATACATGCAGAAGTAAATCGATTCCCAATCGCATTATCTGGGTGTCTTAGTCCAACTTCAAGAAATTCCATTTAGTACGATTTCAGTCGGACTAACATAATAATTCAATTTCCTTAGTGTGCACGTAAACGTACTGAAAAATAGACTCTCAGCATGAGTTCATAAAGGGAGATTATGATCCTTTGGGAGTTTGTCAAACAGGTTTCTGGTCAGGCAACCAAATGGTGTCACTCTTCCTGTTGTTCTGAGCCTTGTCTTTTCAAAAGCATTGATGTGCTATCCAAATAGAGAGCACATTTTCTTAAAGAACGATTAAAAAAAAGAATCATATCTTGTCATTTCCATTACAAAAACATTTTGTATCTTATTCATCTCATTTTCCTATCACGGAGCACAGTGTAAAACCATCACTAAGGAAATACAATCCCCAAACAAACAGCTTTATCAGTTATCATTAAAGCTGTAGAAAAAGATAATTGACTGGTTTACTTCCTCATAGCAAGTTAACGTCTCTAACGTTCAATGACAGTAGTGGAACATCGTTTGAAGGGTTACACTGAAAATAAAAAACCCATCATAAAATAACATCAATACAGTTGCTGACCCCCCTTCCCTTTCAGGGTTCCAGGGTCCAGCAGAACCACACCAGGTGATCCCTGAAGGTATTTTCTCAGGAAGAGAGATACTGCCACTGAATCACTGTTTAAGCACATTCCTTTCCAAAAAACAAAAAGGCATGCAGGGTATGACATTCCCTCAATGAGAGAATTAAAGCAGCCTGAGGAAGAAAGTGGGTCAAAGAATAGGGACTATTATACTGGAAAATAAAACTAATCAGCATCATAGACAGACAGTAAAGAGAGGTCTCAGATACCTCACTGCTGTTTAATACAGAGGGATAGGATTCTCAAAACATTGAATATTAGACTTTCCCCACAGACAAGCCTGAATTACTTACAGAAGTCTAACTGAACTCCCATACAGATGACTGACACTGGATGGCAGCTTCTCCTAGCAAGAGTTCTGATGTGGCACAGCTAGATTGCTCAATAGGGCTGAAGTGGACATGTAACTAACCCCATCACGTATCCAACACAAAAACTGCCTTAAGTGTTTGTTCCTGCTGCGCGTGAATTGATCTGCAGTATGCAATCACCACATACATACCTGCTTACAAAAACAAATTCTTTTCACGTTCCTGGCCCAATGCAACCTAGTGGAACTTGTTCCATTCCTCAGAGGGCGGTGCTAAAAGTTCAAGCTGCTATCGTACCTGTTGTAGATGTCGTCGTCCTCCCCACCCCAGCCCCAGTAGTTGTTGGGGAAGCCATTGATCTTCAGGAACTGCTCCTTGCTCATGGAGGAGACCCCACCAAAGTATTGATTATACGGCAGCCTGGGGAAAAGGGTTAAAGGTGAAATTCCTGGAAACTGTACAGCTCATGTTGTTCAATCGTAGATTATTTCTATTCCATTTTATTCAAAAAAACCAATAACTGCACAACTACACACCTATAAACTTTGGAGAATGTTTTGATGTTGGGCATAAACAAGCATTTGCAGAACAAGTATCTTCCCAACTCAATTTCTTCTCAAGTCAGTACATATCCATACTGCAAAGCCGTATCCATCCCAACCGTTTCTGGCAGTTCTTTGGCCGAATGCACCCCCCCAGCAACACCACATAGGCCTGCCACAGTTATTATATAATCGACTGATCAAGATTATTTGACCGGACCACAATTATATTTTGCCTCCATTCATCCGTATAAACAGCTGGATGAGAAAGTTGTACGAATATGACGGTTATATTTCCATAGCGTTTTCTACAGTGTGATGTTTGACTGGCGCTCGTTTAATGATCTTCTCGTTCCGATTTTGAACCAGTCCCATACCACCTGTCCTATTTGTACCTCGCACGTCTGCGCATGCGCAGCATTACACTTCACGGCAAATTTTACGACTGTGCCTGATTTGTACCACTTCCTTTCACAACACTCATGACCCAGCCTGATCTCATTAGTATTTCTTTTCACTACTTCAGGTTCATAACGGGCTGCTTGTGAGCAATGTCCATCAGCCCAGAATATCAGCCACATATTCCGATTTTGGATTCTTTGTGTTCTCTGTTTAATGAAAGCACCTACACTTGTGTCGGAGTGTGTGTGTGTGCGCGCATCTCGTTATGGTGGGATGACTATATATGCCCCTAACGGCTGCCACTACTCTGCTGCAAATCAGTATATTATGCCAATTAGGACAAAGAACTAGAGAAAGTTATTTCATCCATTTATTTCTGATCCCACTGCTTTGGAGTGATAAACAAAAGTGGTATGCAAGTAGGCATTCGCCAGCGATACGCATGGCAATTTCTTGTTGTAGCAGTGAAATGCATACATATATTTTATGCGCATTCGCAATTATGACAAGAAATTACCAAGCATTATAACCTGTGGCTAATTTGGACTTCTTTTGGGGAAGAAGAGCTAAAACGCACATTGATTTCTTGTCATAGCAGCGCGAATGCACATAAAATGAATACGCATTTGGATATACTGTAAATGCATACTTGCGTAGCAGTGATGTGCGCTACTAGATATAAATATGGCTGAAACAAACAATACACACCAAACTTCATATTTCAGTTAAGAATGAACCAAAGCTATACATATACCAAAATACCATGTCAATGGATAGCAGCAATTTCAACTGATGAAAATATAAACTAGGATTTCAGATATGGGATATTTATGTAATGTGTTGACCCAAAAACTGGAAATAGATGATTGGAGTGAATACTTAAAATGACAAGCAAAAAAGTGACTGGAATTAAACGGATTAATCCCAGGGATCTGTATCATGATTCACGAAGCAGGATTTCTTGCTTTGCCGGATAACTTGTCAGATTTAAGGTACAGCAATTTTAAATTTATAAACTTTTGCTTATAAAGCTTAAAAGGGAAATGCAATTTCCAATATTCAGTTCTTCACGAGGTGTATATATAATATTAAACTATGATTAGGTTAACTTCGTAGTGTTATAAAATGAAAAGAAAAAAGACAAATCATCAATCGTAATTAATCGTATGACAATTAATCGTCAACTAAAATTTCATGATCGTGACAGCCCTAACACCACACTTACATTTTACAGATATTCAACAAACAAACAAAAAAAAAAAAACAGGGTTCCAGCATGACATGCTTGGACCCCTAATAAAGTGTACACTCATTGCTTTCTTCCATTTCCAGGTCTACATCAGAACTGATTGTCTGTAACCACAACATTTGGGTGCAAAAACCGCCTAAAGCCAAAGGCAGAATGTTCCCTGCGGTTCTGTACCAAGTGAAACCACCTGCATCACACAGTTTCTTCCATAGATGGCATCCAGACGGTTAGCAGGGCATGTCCCTGTTTAGCCACCAACTGGGATATATCACTGGGAAAATCATATATTGGGAAGCATAACAGGCTTCAGTGGTGCAAAATGCTGAGCTGTGCTTATCTCCAGAAGATCAAATGGGTAGAGTGTTCATTCAAATTCGATGTGCGTTACCCAAAGCAACCGTGCATAGGGTTAAGAATGGCTGATGAGGCTATACCTGAAGCCGAACTTGTCCATAGACACAGACAGGTGTCTAGGTTGGCTGAAGCACTTGTAGATGTTGCGATCATCCAAGGGAATCAGGTCCACATCACTGAAGACAAAACAGTCGTAGTCATACTCCTTCAAGGCCTCGGTGTAGCCGATGTTCAGGAGCTTGGCCCGATTGAACACCTCGTCTCCATCCTGCAGGAGTGGGGGGTGGGAAGTATGCTTTAAGCTCATGAAGCCTCACACCAAGCATCCTTCAACCAGGTGACACCACAGGGGGTCCCTCAAAGAACCAAAAGGCATGTGTAGGGATGGGCATCATTAAGATTTTAATGGTACTACTACTCTTACTGATACTGCTTATCGATCCAGTACTTTGACAGTACTCTTATTGGTGCTTTTTATGCAATGCTAAGTTCATACTACACGATTTTCAATGCTTTGTGTGTGAGGGTTAACTTGCCACACGTTTGTAAATGTTGAGCATGTGTGTTGTTAAAGTGTCTTAACAATTCTAGTCTGAACACGCTACAAATGATGATTTCCAGGTGTCATTCCAGCATGTGAGCGGAGTGGGGCGGTGATAATTTCCGCTCCTCGCTCACGAGGCTGTTGGCTCCGCCCACTCCTCCGCACTAAGCCGCTCCACTCAACACCGCTCCTCGCTCCACTAAAATTTCCCCCCGCTCCAGTCAAATTGCTCCACGATCGCTCCAATTTAAGAGGGACAAATAATTTGCATGCCTAACAACTGTCACCTTACACCGAAGCCTTATGTCAAAGAAATATGAGCAACGGCAACACCGTCACTGAGAACAGAAAATATTTCAACAACATATGGGCAACAACGGACAGGTTTGGCAATGGCATTCGACACAAAAATAGGCTTTAAAATAATGGAATCAGTAGGCTTAATAGCCTAAAGAATATACAGGCTAAGCATCCACATTTTAAACTCCCCAATTTATTTCTGTTGATGCTGCTGCGTCTGTCTCTAAAATAAAATTTCACTGACAGCGTTACGTGAATAAAAAAAAAAATCCTTAATTAGACCTGCTTTGAATGACAAAACTAATTTGATTACCAATATATACTTTATAGGCTTTAATACTTTTATTTACTTTATAGACGGGATATGCTACAACCATATAAAACTTGCTCACGTTTTGCTCTGGCCTCCGCGTGTTCGCGTAGCACACTCATGTTTCCGAGAAAGGCGTCTTTTTAGATTCCAAAGTGAATCTTTACTCACTGAAAACAGTTTCACCACATTGTTCTTGCCCTACATTGTCATATATACGTTTGATAAGAATAGTACACTTGTATGACCTATCAGTTTCCTTTGTGAAATACTTTGCGAATTCCATTTGGGTCAATTTGTGTAACGGTCTTGATAATTGTACAGATGAATTCTGGGTAGAGTTGGGCACGCCTCAGAGTAGTAGTGTGAGCGGTATCAGAGCGAAATTGGAGCGAGAAAGAGCGACCGCTCCAGCCTTAATTAAAAAAAAAAAAAAACCGATGCGCGCTCTGACCAAATTCCGCCCGCTCCCGCTCCTCACTTAGGCTCTGATTCACACGTATCATTTCTAGGGATGCAACGATTACAATTTTCTTGGCCAATTCAGATTTCCGAATTCCCCCCCCCCCCCAAGTCTGACCTGCTGATACCGATTTTTGCCAATTCCGATTTTCTTTCTAAGAACTATAACTGACAGCAAATACAAACAAAAATCAGCTTTTCTTCATTGCAAAAATGTACTTCATAATTTCCCCCCCAAACAGGACTAACTCACAGCATCTTTCACTTAATCGTCAAAAAAGTGCTATGTGACTGGAAAGTAGTACAAATAAATTAACTGAAAATGAGTTGTTGTACAGACAACTTTCTCTGACATATTTTACTTTATCAAACAAGAGCAGGTGCAACAGATTTAAATAAAACAAATGTCAGTCACTAATATCACTTTCCACCATGTTTAAAATTCACCAGATAACACAACATTGATCTTTTTCCTCTTTTCTTTTTTGTCTTAAAAAAGTCAATAGGTTACAAACCTCCAAATAAAACTGAAGTGTACTATACTTTTCCAAATAATAGGTGCAGGGTAATATTAATACTAACATCGCATGAAATGCACATAATTCTTACATCGCTAGTAAGTTAGATTAATATCAGGTTTTTTCATACCGTCGTACTGTATGGACATCATAGCGCAGGGGGTTGAAGTTTTGCTAAACCATTTTTACTCTGCCATAGGAAAAAACCTTAGTGAGCTTTGCAATTTTAGCGATTATTCCTTTTCAAGATCTAGTATAGGTCTAATAATCAGTTCAAAGTTTACCTCCAAGGTTTCACCATATTTACTTTGGCTTTACCTGTATGTACATGGTACACATTGCAATCTTTGTGTCGTCTTCAATCACAGGGAAGAACTTCCATGGTAACGATATGTTAGTGAGTGGCTGTAAGTGTGCACGCAGTTGCCTGTGGCGCTTTGTGCATGACGTGTGGTGCATGTGTAACACGGACCGGTTTAGTATCGGAAATACATGAGACTGACCGGCCAGTTTCCAGTCCAGGCCAAGCACGCAGAAAATCAGCCGATTCCCAATACTGGTAGGTTGATTGGTGTGATTTCATGACAAAACATTGTTTGGAGACCAAACACACTCGTCAGCGATTCCTCCTGGTGAAAGATCTTGTAGTGTGTGACCATCTGTCACCAATCAGTCGAGTAGTGTGTAAACTGCGACGACTTCAAGATTCCTGTCAACAAGCTGCTATTCTGCTCACACTATACAATCTGATGACATTGAAAGTTGTGTAGTGTGAACTTAGAATAAGACAGAAAAAGTACCAAATTAAGAGCAGAATTAACATGACTTTTCTCATACGTACAGTATGCAAATTAATGAGTGACAAACTGCAGCAACATTGTTTTGATCAAGTCACTATTATAGACTGTTTTGCATTTCGATAATTACATTACAATTTTTTATAGCACAAGAAACAGCAACATTTTGAACAATTCACCATAACAGACTGATTGAGACTACTACATTTGTTTTACATTTCTATAATGTTCACTTTAAGTGAAAAATTGAGTACAGGACTTTTTCTTTGACAGTAATTTTACCGTGTGGTAACGTTTTTCCAAATCACTAAATCCATTATCTGAAACTGAAAATTTCAGAACATATGATGCTCTGACCATTTCAGATTTCCGAAATTTATGAACGCACCCATAACAATCAGCTGGCTAATGGTTACGCATTATCCACATGCATATAACTAATTCACATTCGTATAATTTAGTTAACTCTGTGGGCTCCAGGCCGCTAAGCATACATATCTTTGTTAATGAACTAGACAGTGGAAAAACTGCACATATCTCCATATGCATGTGATGGACTGTCACTACATATTGACAGATCGCTTGTGTTTCCACCCTTACATGCAAAAGATTTGTTGCGCTTGTGGCAAAGCACATTGTCAGCACTGACTAATGAAATGTTAGCACACTTTTGAACGTTTAGCTCTCTCCACTTTCATCACTCAAGACAGGGTCTCAGTTGGTGCTCGCTGCACATTGCTGCTCATCAGAGAGAGCGCGAGTGAGCTCCACCGTGCCCCACCTCTCGCACAAAGGCTGCCCCTAGCCTTGCCCCTCACAGACAGGCTCCGAGAGAGATCTCTCCCTTCTCAAAATACTGAACATGCAAGGGGAAACAGAGCTGGGAAGATGAAATGTGTAAGAGAACTTTTATGTACAAAAATAAATCTTATTATTGCTTCTCAAATTTCTTCAGTACTAAAAATAGAACAGATTACATCAGAGGTTATTGATATTGCGCTGTTTAATGCAACTCCTAGGCCTGTTTAATACCAGGGGCCGGTTGCAAAACACCTCAAGTTAAGATTTTCCTTAAGTCCGAGTTAAGGTCTCCTTAAAATAAGGTCGGTTGCACAAAACACCCTTACGTCTCCTCCTTAAGGTTTCCTTAACATTTTCTCTTAAGTATTTAAGTTTTTCTACTTATCTTGGTCTTATACTTAAGGAATCCCTTAATGGTTGCACAAAAGACCTTAGAAACCAAACTAAGGGAAAAAAATTAAGGTACCTCTAACCATACCTTAACTGCAACATGGCCGCGTTTATGATAATAAATAACGAAAATGAACGAATCCCAAAAAGTGTTCCGCGACCGGAAGAACCCCTTAGATACACTTAATGATGAGCAATTGATTTTGCTTTATAAATTTGACCGGCAGTCAATTTATGATTTGTCCGACTGTCGACAGTTGGATCACTCCACAATCCGAAGCCGTGCTCTCCCAGCTGCGTTGCAATTAATGATTGCTCTCTGGTTCTATGCTACGGGCTCGATCATTTCGGGTTGTAATAGGCGATGTATCTCATGTCCACAATTAAATGGTATGCCGCGTCATTCACCGAATTTCAAACGCCATGGCTCATCTGTTGAACACCGTGGTGAAATTCCCCTCTAAACAAGAACAGGATGAAATAGCGACACACTTCTTTAATGTGGTCGGCTTCCCAAGATTGGGACCTACATCAGGATTCAAGCTCCCGTACAATATGAAGATCAATTTATTAACAGAAAAAAATCAATATTCAATCACTGTCCAGTTAGTTTGCAATCATGAACATAAAATAATTAATGTTGCAGCACAATGTAGACTTCTTCAATTAATTTTCATTGCAATTTTCTCTCACATTCGTTGTTTTCTGTTTGCTGTTATTTACGGATCAAACTTACTTTTTAGTATGTTCTTTTATTGTATTCCTTCAATTTGGCTTTTGTCTTCTTTTCTCCCATTTTTTTTATTTTGTGAGTAACTTCGTGAAGCGATAACGGGTATCACAAGCAGACACGAGTGATATGAACGGTCTCCATGGAAACGGGACAATTTTACTGCTGTAAAATGTCTTTCAATGTTGTAAATACCTAAATGCTTTTCCTTAACTAAAGAAACCTTTTAAGGGGTTCGGTGCAACATCCTTAAATAAACCCCTTAGCTAAGGAGAAATTAAACCTTAAGTGTCATATTTAAGGGGAAAACATTGGGTGTTTTTTGCAACCAGCCCCAGGATCTCATCCCTGATTCCGAAGAAATCGTTCATTTCTAAAGGTAATATTGACACATCATACATTACAAAGCAACCTGCATGTTCAATGGGCAAGCTACACACAAGTAGTGCACACACACAAAAGCAAAAACAAACAGTGGCCAAACAGCTCTTATTTGCAAAAAAACCAGCATCTTCCTTGCTGGGAATGGGTGCCTGATAATGCATATGTGGAACTCATTCTGTCGCTGACATGTTTCCCTCCAAGCATTTTGGCAGAGGAGTGCGGGGCCGCCTTGACAAGACAGGGTGTCCTGACCGATTCTGGCAGTTCATTTGCTGATACTGCATGGCCACACAGATAGTGGTGCAGTAAGAGAGCCAAGCACTGGACACTGACGAACGAGGTTCCCCTACCAACCCCCACCAACACCACACTTACATATTCCAGATATTCAACTGGCAGACCTAGTTAAGTTTTCCCAAGAAAATACATCTTCTACATTTGTGGATTTTTTGTTTCCTTTTAGACACAACACGCCCTTATCTGCTGCTTTTTGAAGACTCCGGCAAACACCCAGACTTATGCAGGAACGGGTTCCTACAGGCACGGTGGGGGGGAGGATGTGGAAAAGCCGGCTCTGTTTTGAATTGCAAAGGATGGACTGGACAGGTCCTTCCAGACTGGGGAGGGGGAGAATTTGGCAGGACTCTGCTCACAAGCTCTTATTATGTCTTTATGCCCTCTGCACATGGGCGATTACTAGAAAGAGCCTTTTGGTACACAGCAGATGGTCGTCATCTGGAAGGCTGCCGCGGCCCATAAAATCGCGTCTTTGGCGGTGCTTGCTCAGATACTTTCCCGGATGGTAACGGCAGTCTGGGCCTCTTCCTTGTTGGCCCTGTTTCCCTCCCACCCACCCCTTCACTGTGAAAAACACATCCCCCCCTCCAAGTACCCAAATGCGGCAACAGACTGTGCTCCCCCACAACCCCCCAGCTACTTTTCTGCAAGCGGAGTGCGGATCCGTAGTCTGCGTTTCCTCTTAAAGGGGAGACATGGGCAGCCGTGATTTCCTCCCCAGAACGCCAGCCAGGCGCTCTGGCAGCTGCCTTGGGCCATGTTCAGTTGCTTGGCAATGCCATTAGTTTGTATTCTCTATATTAACTGGGGGGAAATGCCTGCCCAGCCCATTTTGTCTCTTTCAAAATGCATTTCCTGGTAGGTAGTAAATAAAACTGAAAGTACAGCAAATGTACTGATAGAAAAAAAACCCACAATATAACATCTGCCTATATGATTGTACTTTCTAAATGCTACACAATTTTAAAAATAAAGCGATGATGATCCATTCCATCTTTTAGTAGAGAGAACTGGGTTTCACCAAATCTAACACAGGAATGTTCACTTGTGCTGTGCCAGCTGTCACTCTACTGACAAATACATGTCTGTCAGAATGTATAGTAAGGTACCACATTTTAAATAACGTGGGGTGGAACAAGGATAAAATAAAATTTAAAAAAAAGGTTTTGAAGTACATCAGATGGCTAGCACTTTAATGAAGCAGTGAAAGAAGATTTCAACAAGTTGCCCCAAGAGAAAAGGAAGGAAAGAAGAAAGCCACATTACCGGTTGTGCACCAAAGCTCACGGGTCACCAAATGGCCCATGGAGAAACCCGCTGGTTTCACCTCTTCCTGCAGCAAGACAAGCCTGACATACATGGGAAGGGAGGGTAGGGTGTGACTGTGGTAGAGTTTTACAAAGAGGAAGAAAAAAAAACAGCATGAAAACAAGGGGAAGACCAGGGAACAGAAGAGAAAGAGAGTAAAAGTTGAGCAGATTGACAACAAGGACACAGAAAGCAATGTATAGCCGCATCCAGTAGACAGGAAACAGGGCTGCCTTTACTGACACCCAGTCTCTCTCATGCCAAACTCATTCACCAGGAAGTGCAGTGTCATTGCGCAAAGAAAACAAACACCATTGTTCTGATCCTGGCTAAGCCATAAACTAAGAAGCATGATTCAAACTAAACATCAAACAGCTGATTTCTTGGCACCGCAGACTGTCAGTAGTGGAGGTAAATTAGCACCACCGAAGGAGCAGAACACAGCAATACCACCCTCTCTGTTCAGGATTCAGCACCAGGAGCCATTACTATTATCATCATCATTATTATAACTGACAGAAATACACCATCATAAAAAGCTGAAGCATATTACAGTGTAAAACATCATCTCCACTAGAAAAAAATAAGTTTGTAAAATGAAGCCAGATATGGAATCTTAGCAAGGGACACGCTCTGCTTCTTGATCTCTGGAAACATAAAGCCAAAATAAGGACAAGTGACACTACCCACCCCCCCATGCTCAACAGCAATGAGGCAAGGATTTACCAACCCTAGGGTGCTGGTAACCAGGAAACTTTCATATAATGTTAGTGGCTCCATGACACCAGAGCAGATTAGTTTACCATGTGCCTCTAACATCACCTGAGCTCATATCCCATGATGCATCAGTTTCCTACACAACATCCCCTCACAACATAAAGCCATAATTCATACAGTTACAGAGGGAACTTCAGCTGAATTTAAACTTCCTGCTTATTTCCTGTGCCAGTTTGGTTCTCACATTCCCTCTGGGACCAGTGATGCAGTGACAGACAAGACAGCTGGTATCAGCCAAAGTGAGAATTCAGCTGTCACACAAAAGAGTAACCTACCATAACACAACCTCATATTCTACCCACTCACTTAAAACCAGTTTATTTACACCAAGACAAAGGGGAGAGAAAAAAAACAATTTGGTATCCATAACTGCAAACATACAGAGGACAATGGTCCTTTTACATCAACCATAAAAAACTGTTGCTTTCCCCCTATGAAGCAGAGGATAACACTAAATGTGCATTATAAGGACCTCAGCAGGGATTAAAAATTGTATTCATCAGCTAAGTCTTTAACCTGAACAGTAGATTTAATGTCAAAATCCATCTGTGTAATTATCTACAGATGCATAATACAGCTGCAGATATGCTTTCACTAGGCAAATAATTAAAATACCACAAACACTCAGGGTGAAAATCATTGCACTACAATCACCATTACCGTAAAGATAAGAATTATCGCATGGTTGGTGTAGGGCTCCCGAGGAGCGCTGAAGCTAATTGATCTGATATTGTATATGTTTTGCGAATTGAATAGAAGATTGCAGTGGTGCACTATTGTTAAAGCCCTTGGAATTCCCAGATTTCATTGTGCAGCTGAAAAATAAATAAGAGCTGAGCTGCATCACAACAAACAAAAAAAAACATTAAAGAATTACCAGAACACTTCCAGCAAACACACCTCACTAGCAAAACCTGACCATTGTGTACGAAGCGGGAAACTTAGAGAAGAGAGCACGGATGAAAAATGTCTCGGGTTACCCCTGGTGACACATGGCAGAGGGACTTACCTGATTGATGATATAGACACCATAGTCCAGCTGCTGCCGCTGTAGGATGGGGTGGAGGTAGTACAGCCAGAACCTGAGGTGATCTTCACGTTTGCGAAAGGGTATAATTATTGCCACCTTTTGGAGGGCAATGCATTCGCTAGGTTTGTAGCGGCCGCCCTCGGAGAGCTTTGGATTCTCAGCCCTTACAAAATCAAGGGTAATGGGGTCGGAGAATTCGATTCTCAGAGGGCCCACTGTATGGTGGGGTGGGGTGGGGGGGGAGGGGGGGGGGGGGGGGGGGGGGGGGGGGGGAAGAGAACAGAAAGTGTGTTCTCAATATACAAATCATTTGTATGAGTGCTTCTCGTGTTTCAACCATCATTCCTAGTCCAATTAAATAGACTACACAATTTACGAGTAAATCAGCTCAGCACAAAGGCACAAAATATGATAAGGTTCCTCAAAATGTATCTACTGTAGCTTTCTGAAAAATCATGTTCGTTCAGCTTGTTTCAGTTGTTGCTGTTATGTGGAACGCAAACCTTACATGATTAAGGGAGGTCATCCGAACAGGTTGTTCAGCCGTGACATCAAAACAGAGGAATTACAGGAATAACCGTCATAAAGAAAACTCCCGGAGGAAGTGACAACATACCAGAGGTACTGTGATCTAACTAAACTCCATTTAAATATGGTAAAAGAAAGTATCACTGACACCTAAAAAAAATGATAAACGAAAGCTGTTCATTGGAATTCTCGCATAACCTCGGAGTTTGTTTTTCCAAGATCAAACAGTGACGTGGCCATTATACACCCAGATAAAACACTTCTATCTGGTGTCAAAGTTAGGCCTACCCCCCCTCAGACAACGCCACAAAATGTCTTGCGTGTGGATAGACTATGCATTATACAGAAAGCTGAAGAATCATACAGATAAAAGATTTACAGGGAAAGAATTCCGATTTCATTAGATATGTTGCCTAAATAATTAAAGTACATGCAAAGTATAGTCCTCAGTAATTAGTCAGACCGAAACTTTAAGCTTAAAGCTCATTAAGGACCCCCCTTAATCCCATCAGCTGCCGAAAACACACACTACTCCCCATCTAATAAAACTTAAAGCAAGTACAAACCAACATGACAGCAACAAAATGTAAATTTAAATGCATTCTTAAATACAGCTTGGCAAAAAAAAGCTGATTTTTTAATAATTTAAAAGTCAAAATAACTGTAATTACCTAGAAGAGGTGGATCGTCAGGACATCGTGTAAGCTCTTCTGCCTCCACGGGAACCAAATCAGCATCCATGTTTTCCCGTTTCACTGGCGCTGCTATCGTGACTGGGTGCGATTTATTATAGTTCTGACCAGGCTTTGTTTGCTGATTTTGTAGGAATGAACCTCGCACATCGAGAGACCTAACATAATAAACTATAGTAACAGATATATGGACAAAGCACAAAAGCACAACCAGTGTGCATATTCTATGTAAAACACCGAAATTTACAGCGGTTTCGCGCATTATTAAAACTGCAAGTTAAAAAAAAAGCATAAAACTGACACGGAAAAAAAACTCTTAAGATCAACGTATCACACAAATACCAAGAAATAATTACATATTTGAGACACGTACCTAGCTAACGTAATTTCTTTATCAGGCAAACACAACCGTTCTCAAGTTTACCGACAGTTTTAAAATTTCCTAAAACTAGTAAAAGTACATTTCCCGTTTATCCGCTTAGCACGTGAACTAACAAATCGCCTAGCAAGATCAACTCAGACATCTCTGTTAGAAACACCCGCAATTAAACACCTATTTATGTTATTCGAAAATTAAGCTTGGCAGTTTGCATCCGAGGTTAAGATCTTAACGGGAAGAGGCTACCACTGAACGACGGAAAAAGTTTTTTTTCTAAATACCAAGATCATCCGACTGTCGACGCCACAGATATTACGACACCGAAGTAAGCCGAGCAAGTTAATCATCGATACTGAGACTTACAAGCGATTAAAAGTATGTACAGCTACCATTAGTTAGCACTAATCCGTCTCGAGGCGCTCGCCCATCTTCCTTCCGAGACGCAGCTAAACTAGCTGTCGCGTGACGTTTCCGGGTCCGCGCGGCCAATAGTCACGGGGACCGATCTAACGAAGTGCGCCGGCGGTATCCGATTCCGAGAAACGGCTCCTACTGGCCACGTTATCTGCGACGCCAGACGCGTATGAAAAAAACATGATCTATATTGTTCGTGAACTAATTTACCTGCGCATTAGAAGCAATTAATAAAAAATATTTACTAATTTATTTACAAAAAAAGTATTTGCAACGAAGTGAATAAAAGAGCAAATAAATAATTGTACGTATATTGTGTGTGTCTTAAGGACGTGGATTTTTTTGGCTTGTTGGTCACATAGACCTACTTGTTTATTCTAATATTGTATTGGGATTGTGCCGTACAGTGTTCCTCTGCTTCATGCCTTGCTCTGCCCCCACCCTTGTCGCTACTTCCGAGATTAGCGCCGGATAGTTGTTGCATTCAGCCAAACCTAGGCAAGAGCACACCCAAGTGGAATTAAGTGAACAGTAACGATGATCGTATGGCGAGATGTTAACCTGAGTTTGATCATGTTCAAATCGATCATTGCACATCTAATTCATCCACTTCTAGTATCACAGTTGTGATACTACTATACTAAGCATGCACCTTTAGACAAAGGCATTTGATTGCTACCATGCTTGACATATTTCAGTCAGGTAGTTCACATACTGATGATGCAATTAGAATGGAATAGTGAAACTTATTAATCACTGTGGGGAAACTCACGTTTTCTCTACCTCATCTTGCTCCCTATGAGACACACCATACAGGTGAGAGCAAGCTTGGAGGCTAATAGCACAGTCAGCATGCAGTAACCTTGGAGGTGGGGGTTAAGGGCCTTGCTCAAGGGCCCATGGACATGTGACTTCTGTAGATGCTTGAACTAGTGACCTTCTGATCAAAGGCACAGAGGCTCAGCTCTCTGAGCCACACACTGCCCCCATTAGAACTGAGAGTTTAAAGTTTGTCTTTAGAGTTTGGAAGGCCAAGGCTTTCATAAAACTCATGAACTGTGCCTAATGGTTGTCAATTCAAAATTAAAGGGAACAGAAGAATAGAAAAAAAAATGTTTACCAAATAGTTCTTGAGAAAACATTAACTTTGTTGTACTAAACATGACTTGCATCTACTTGGGAATTTCAGCAACAGGTATGAACTCATCTTTAAAGAAAGATGGCTTTTAGGCCAATCTATTAATATACTTGAAGGTTATTGTGCAGGGTTGGTTCTGTATTTTTCATGTCTATCTATGGATCTATTACTTGCTACCAAAGACTGAAACATGTCATGATAGTACTCATTCATATAGATGCTATTAATTTCCATTTTACTCTTGGTGACAATCAATGTCCATAACCTCAAAATATCCCCATGGCAAGTGGATTCAGTCTAGCCAACACCAGCATTAAGGAGACATTCTCTTCAAACCAATCAGCTTTACCCCTCTTCAGCTATTATAACCCAGCCTCTGATTGCTGAAGCATGAATGACCCAAATGCCTACCCTAAAATCAAATTTCAGCATGCAGATGATCTCAACTTGGACCAGACCATTACCATATTTAGTTTTTAGAAGTTTCCCTAATCATTCCACCTCAGCCCTGCATATCTGTTGGAATACTGCTCACAATTATTTATGAATCTCACAAAGTCTGCAGTGACTGAACACAAGATCATTGCAAGAAAACATTACTTTCAATACCTTTATCTTGTGCTAAAATTATGGGCGATCCTTATAAAATGTAAAATATAAAATATAAATTCAATCATCCAGTGTACTAAATCTTTCCTTTATAAATGTGTTTATAACTTCTGAATTCCCTTTAGAAATGTTATGATCTGTTAAAACTTTAAGAATCAGGGATAACTTTTTGCTTTCAACTCATGCTCTCAGATCAGTACTATTTCATGACTGGCTGGCTAATTAGAACTGCACCTCAATGTACAGAAACATACATCAAACTCTCATCAGATGCCCCACAGATTCAAGTTTTGCTGAAGTAAACTGCTAGTAAACAACAGAAAAACTTCCTCATGGCAGAACCAACAGCTATGCTAGGGTGTTTCAGGTCTGAGTGAACATATTAAATTTTGTATATAAAGTATAACACTTACTATAACATCACCATTCTCCACCAAAAAATACATTTAGGAGTATCTAAAAATCCAAATCAGTTACATAATCTAGAATTATCCTCCTTTCATACATTTCATGTATTTATTAATACATCAAATAAATGAGTTTTTCATAATGTACTTAAACATTAATATATGACAAGTTTAGAACTACAAAGTTATTCTATCATTTTACAGAGAGTGTTCTTGCATTTCCTCACATGAGTAACAATGTCTGAACACAACCACTAGACTACAGCCAAAACGAGTGTTCACAAATGAATAATTATTGCTGATCTAAAGAACAGTTGAAGGCCTGAAATGCTTCTTCTCTACTAAACCAATTAAAAATCTGTTACCTTCGTATGATTTCAGTTTTCTTAAATAGCTTGATAAGTCAGTGATCTTTTAATTAAAATAAATAAAAATGTCAACTTCATGAATAATAATATTCACGGAAAATAGGGCGCAGGGCAGGGCTACATGTGGGATGTGATGCTAGCGCATCACGATGCATACACACGTACACACAGTGGGCAATTTTAGAAACACTAGTTCACCTAAATGGACGCCCTTGGAGGAGGAAGAAAATCAGTGTACTCAGAGGAGAATGTGAACTCATTCAAACCGCCAAAACCTAAAAAGTGTAAATGCTTTGTTCTGTTTATAAATAGTTGTTGTAAAGGTAATATAAGGGCATAAAATGTGACAAATGCCTACTTTTCAAGCTATCCACACTTAAGATGTCAGCAAGAGACCATATTCTTTAACTTTTTCTAATAGTCTTAATCGACATGTTGGCCTTCTTCTTAAAGATCGCACGTGTGGGTACGTTTTGACCACAACACAAATACGAGACCTCTACTTCAATATAAAGAACGTGTTTACGTCCTTTTTACTTCCCAAAATGGTAGCTGAACGCAACGTCAAGAGACGCCGTCGCTCAAACGTACTCAACGCCGGCATCGCGCTTAAAGAAGGGCCACCGAGCGCTGGAGCGATCTGCATTGGCACGTACACTGGCGCAGCTGGACCGCGCTCGTCGCTCAAGAAAGGCAGGCAGACAGACAGGCGCGGCTCGGAGCTCCGCGGAAAAGCCCGAGACATCGCAGAACTCGCACGCCGAGCTGGGGCGGCCGCGGGAAGAAACACGAGCCGCCGGTGACGTCAGCCATCACTGCGTACGCGGCCGTGTGCTGGAATGTGAGGGGGACCTGCGCGTGCCGGAGCAAACTGTCGAGGGGGGAAAAACTTTGGAAACATTTCGACTCGCAAGTTTCCAGTTTTCGTTTTAATCTCTCGAAGGACTGGCGGTGAGTCTAGCGAGGGGGCGAAAGGGGGATTCGGACTTTCCGACCTAGCGGCAGAGGGCAGAGAGGAAAAAGTTGTTGAAAAACTGTTTCAAACATGGAGGGGATGGTTGCTTTCTGAAAAGGGGAGAGGCGCTGTCCAGGGCTGATTCCGCACGGCGCAAAGCTCGTATTTCAGCACGGAGATCAGGACCACGGCTAACACACATACGGATACACGCTCGCCCGAAGTAGAGGTATGAAGCCAGTAAACCGATTTTTTTTTCCGGATTAATCGTCGGATTTGTGCACGCTGAGGACTTAATAAAAACACAGGCGCTGTCCGCTGAAGTTGAACATTGCTCAAAGCGTGTCTTGTCTTCTGTTTCCGGAAAGGGGATGTTTACTTTGTAAGTTTTCTAGCTAGCTTTCTAGCTTCGCGAGGGCCCTGGACAGCGATTTTTTTTTCTCCCACCCTCCGACTTTCTGCACGGCCAGTACTAGTAGTAAACACTTTATTCCGACTTTACTGGGCACCTTATTACAAGTATTAGCATGTTAATTGAACTACTGAAGTCTCGAGGGCAACTTTTTCAGTTGTGAAAAAGTTTTCACTGGCGTGTAAAGCACGACCAGTGAACTTAAGAAGTTGTGAAGTTTAGAAGTCAGTTTAAATTGATTTTTATTTTAATTTTTTTACTGAGCCCACACTGCCGTTGGCGAAAACGCTGACTTTCTTGTATAAATGTTAGCTTGCTGGTTACCACGAAAGCTTGGTGACCGAGAGGATTACGGTTTTCAGAGAGGATAAGTCAGACTTATTTATTGATATTGTAACCATAGGTAGCCGCTTAATGTGTTTTGCACTTCATAGCCAAGCATGCAGCGGGTGCCATCACTTTATAAGTGTGCCCTACTCCGCAATAGCGACGTCCCAGTAAACATCGAGTTGCTGTAGTGTCGGTAGTGCTGTGGCTGTAAAATGGCCGAACACAAATTTTTCATGCATGTAGCTGGCTAACCCACTAGGCCCATGTTCACTCGGTTTGCAGCTGTAAGGGGGTGCTGCGCCTTTTATCACATATTTCACCTGGGTTAAGTATATATGTATGTGTTTTTTTTTCTGTCACGTTATATTATTGGAACGGCTTGACAAACTATTTTCCTGGGATCAGCCAGTAGTTGAAAACTTGGTGGCTGAGGCACGGTTGAGAAAAAGATTTAAAACTTTCCTAATTATTTCTGTTCATAGTTTTAGTTCTTATGGGAAAATAGCATCGACCCTCTTCAGGAAATCAGTGATATATACTCTCTCTCTCTCTCTCTCTCTCTCTCTCTCTCTGTGTATCATGCATATGCGGTCAAATTTTTAATCGAAATTTATTCGAAGTTGGTGTACTCTTTTAACATTTACCTCCATTTGAAAGTTTTGTTGCATTTAAAAAGTGTTATGATCATATAATAAAAATCATATAATTATATTATTTTTGAAGTAACACCTTTTTTTTTACTCTGAGTCAAAAGGATGATCCTTGACCCTTACAGATTCAACATTCATTCTCATTTTCACATGATTGTCTTCCTGTACCTTAAATGGCAGTGGACTTAATTCGGCATCGAAAAAAAATGGCTTTTGTAACTTTTTTTTTTTTGTTCGTTCCTGTTTTGTTTAAATGGAAGATGGACTATTAATAGTAACTGCAGCTTCCACTAATTACTGTTGAAGCAACAATCTAGTTAAATGCTTTAAACCTTGATTCAGCACGTTTTGTATATAAGGAAAACAGTAACATGAAAATTGTATGGTATTTCTTTTCCTCCTACTGTGAGAGGAAAGAGAGAGACTGAAGTATGGTAACTTGTTGATGCCTTTGGTCACATGACTGGGATATTACTGACATTCCTTATGCACCAATAACTAGACACAGGCTTTCTCTGTAAATGGTTGTGAGATCATCTGTGCTAGCCTTTGTCCTACGAATACCTGCTCCCTCCCCCAGTATTCACATCATTTTCAGATGCTGAGGTGCAGGATGAGAAACAAGTATTCCAATATCTTAAATGTCACCTTCCAGTGATTTTATTGAGCTTTCGTGTTGCTTTAGTGTGAATGTAGTATGGACAGCTGTCACATGAGATGTGGGGGTTGGGTGTAGAAAGCAGTAGTTAAATGAAGGCCCCCCGTTGTAGTAGAACATACTGCCAACAAGAAGTTCCATTTAAATGTTGTCCACCAGGCAGAAACTGTCTGTGTTTACTGGCCCTAACGGTATTAAAATGTTATTTTTGGTGGAGAATTGGTGAAACCCACTGCATAGCTCTAGGTAAATGTCGCACTATTTCTACAGCATCTATGTCGGTCTGTCTTTTTAAAGTCTTGGACAAACGCCGTTTCATTTAATTGTGTATATTGACTTCACTTGAGAAGGACTGCAAATTGAATAATGAAATGCTTCATGAATTTTGTTATGCTGTAGTCTAAATGTTAATGGTGTAATTGTAGGCTATATATTTTTATTTATGTGTGAGTTGTATTGATATAGATTTTACTCATGGTTGTTCTTTCTTTGTAGATCTAGCATGGCTGCCCAGCCTGTTTATCCCATTGGAGTGGGCATGTTTACTCCTGTGGTGTCTGTGCCCATGGCAGGTGAGGGCCAGGGAGTGACGGATATGGCTGCCCCGCAGTTGGTCATGCTTGCCAACGTGGCCCTCACTTCCGAGGGCACCAATTGTGAGAGCCTCACGGAGGAGAAACAGATGGTGGAACTGAAGACGGTGGGCAGTGGCAGCTACTCTGATAGCGAGGATGAGGCGCTGACGCGATTCAGTGGGTTTGACGGCCAAGCAGAGGCGCCTTTGGTCGTGTACGACGAGGCCCAGCCGGATCCACCATGCCAGACTGCCGCGGAGCCGGAGCCAGAGCCAGAGGAGACGAGAAATGATCAGGAGGGGGTAGCTGAACCTCCAGAGCAGGATCAGTCTCCGGCAGGAGTAGGCAAGCGTAAGCGCATACAGCGGCCTGTGGAACCACCCAAGAAGAAAAAGCCATTCCACTGCAAGCCCTGTCAGTATCAGGCGGAGTGTGAGGAGGATTTTGTCCATCACATCCGTAGGCATAGTGCCAAGAAGCTAATCGTGGTTAATGGGGCGGAGGCTGAGGCTGAGGGAGCGGCCAAGGACTCAGCATCCAGTGCTGAGGGAGGGGACGGGTTGGTGTACACGAAGGGAGTGATTCGCTGTGAACGCTGCGGCTATAATACAAACCGCTATGACCACTATGTGGCCCACCTCAAACATCACACTAAGGAGGGGGACAGCCAGAGGGTTTATAAATGTACCATCTGCACGTACACCACCATCAGTCAGTACCACTGGAAGAAGCACTTGCGGAACCACTTCCCCAGCAAGCTGTACACCTGTGCACAGTGCTGCTATTTCTCTGATCGCAAGAACAACTACGTGCAGCACATTCGCACTCACACAGGTAGGCATGCCACCGCACGCGTCAAGCTGCGCAGATGACGACACAGGATTTCTGGGTGCACCAGAAACCATCGTTGTGTCTTTCTATGGTTCTAACACACTTGTTCTGTGACAGGGGAGCGTCCATTCCGGTGCCCATACTGCAAGTATTCAAGCTCCCAGAAAACGCACTTGACCCGGCACATGAGAACGCACTCAGGTGAGTCTCAGCCCTGGAACCTTTGCCAGCAAGAGGGTTGAGAAGTATTTGGTAGAGTTTGACATGATGTAGAAATAACCAGTGGTGGTCAGCTTTCAGTTATTTTACAGCCTTAGAACACTGTTCAAACAGTCTCCTTGCTGTGTTCTATTGAAAGACAAATGAAAAATAAAACTAATATTATTATTTTGTTGTACTCAATGCATTCGGTGGAGCAGTTGGTTTTGGATTAGCAAAAACGGTAAATTGGTATGTATCGTTTGTTTGTCCCCGTGTGTGGTAATCGGTGGTGTTTGTGTCCCTTTCATTGCATGAAATTTTCCTTGGTAACGATACTTGTAAATAATACTTGAAAAGATATAGATCTATATAAATATATATTTTTCATTAGTTTTTAAACAATTGTTTGTTTTTGTTCAGGTGAGAGGCCATTTAAATGTGAGACCTGTAGCTACCTAGCTGCCAACCAGCATGAAGTGACTCGCCATGCCAGGCAGGTTCACAACGGCCCCAAACCCCTGAGCTGCCCACATTGCCAGTACAAGACGGCGGATCGCAGCAATTACAAAAAGCACGTAGAGCTTCATATCAACCCTCGGCAGTTCCTTTGCCCCGTCTGCAGCTACGCTGCCTCCAAGAAGTGCAACTTGCAGTATCACATCAAGTCCCGGCACCCAGACTGCTCTGAGATCACCATGGATGTATCCAAAGTCAAGTTGCGTGTCAAGAAACCTGATTCTAACTCCACTTACTACAATGTGGACGGGAACACCCAGTATGTGTTGACAGGAATCAAGGAACGGAAAGGGCAGCCGGAGAAAAGATCTGTCAAGCAAGGAAATGCTACTGCAGATGAACAGCAGAACCTGACCCCGATGAACCTCTCTATGCGGAAATCTAACAGGCCAGCTTCAGCACCTGCTGCCGAGAAAGAGCGCAAGGACAAGACCTCCAAGAAAGGGGAGCAAAACTCTGAGAAAGCTGGCACAGGAAAAGCAGAGAAGGGTTTGGCAGAGGAGAAGGGGACGGAGAAGCAGAAAGAGAAATGTGAACGACGGGAGAGAAGTGGTGGGAGAACAACAAGAATGGAGAAGGCTGATTGTGATGGGAAACAGGCTGAGAGTGGCCTGGAAAAAGTGGAAAAGAAAAAAGAGGCCAAGAAGACCACCAAAGCTTCCCGGCTCTCGGATGGTACGGTAGTCAAGACACCAAACAGAAGGGGAAGGAAATCTGCAAAGATGACAACAGGCTCAGAAGAGAAGGATAAGATGGAGAAGGTAGAGAAGAAGAAGGAGAAAGCTGAAAAGGAAAGGATGGAGAAGGAGAGGACTGAAAAGGCCAGAGTGGAGAAAGAGAGGGTTGAAAAGAAGAGGTTGGAGAAGGAGAGGGTTGAGAAAGAGAGGTTGGAGAAGGAGAGGGTTGAACAGGAGAAGGTGGAGAAGGAGAGGGTTGAACAGGAGAAGGTGGAGAAGGAGAGGGTTG